AGGCGGAGGCAGGAGACTCGCTTGAGCCCAGGAGTTGGAGGTTGCTGTGAGCTATGATGCCACGGCACTCTACTCAGGGGGATAGCTTGAGGCTCTGTCTCAAAAAAAAATATATATATATATATATATTATTTTAACATAGAACATTTCACAAATTTGCATAGCATCCTTGTGTAGGGGCCACGCTAATCTTCCCCGTATCATTCTAATTTTAGTATAAGTGTGCCAAACCGAGCACCCCACCCGGCTTCCTCCCTACTCCACTCCAGCACACTGGCTTTCCCTGTGTTCCTTGGGCCATCATGCCCCAGGTTTCTGCCCCAAGGCCTTGGTGCTTGCTGGCTACTCCCTCTGAGCCCCATTCCAGTCCTACCTCCCTCCCCAGTTTCATCTCTGCTAGCCCCATTCAGCCACAAGTTTATTCCACACGCTTGTCTCAACCACAGGGCCTCTTGCTGTTCCCACCACCTTGAACACCTATCCAGGCCGTATCAGCTCCATGTCTTCATGTTGCAGCACAAATGCCCTCGGTTAAGATTTGTCTAGTCTCTTTCCCACGAGAAGCCCAACATCACAGAGAGTAAGGGATGAGCTGTGCTTCAGGCACCCCCAGCTGAGTCTCCAGCACCCGGGACAGTGACATCTGCCTCACCTCAGGACTCAGGGAGAGAAACATTCACTGCAGGAGCCTCCAAAGGAAAATAGGGCTATTGATCTCATACTCTCTCTCTCTCTCTCTCCTCTCAGGGCTGTACAGAGAGGCTGGAGGCATACAGTTGTCCAAAGACAGGCCTGGGGTGCCTTTTCTCAGATGAGATGACCTGGATGAGGCCGGGCATGAAGAGGGCTGAACTCCAGAGTCCCTGCCCCTGGGCCTGGGCCTGCTCTTTCTAGGAAGGTAAAGATGGGCATCTGGAGGAAGGTGAGAACGGCCACTGTTAGTCACAGAACTGTTCACTGAAGAATAGATCAGGATCCTTTTGGGTTTATGGTGAGAATCTGGTGACAGGGAAAAGTCCACTTGCTGCTGAGAGGAAGGAGCAGCCCATAGCGGTTTCAGGTAAAGTTAGCAGCCTTTGCCTCTGATGTCGGGTATTTTTTTCCTATGGATACTTTTCTGCACTTTACAAATTTTCAACCACACACACAAACACGCATCAGAAATAGCTGTCCCACTCTGCCCCCAACTCCGCGACACCAGTCACAGAGCCTCAAGGAGCTGCCGGAGGGTTAACATTAGCAAAGTTTTAATTCAATTTTTTTCTGCTCCTAAATGACTCTGAAAAAGCCAGTAGCAAGAGCTAGCACAGCTGCTATCTAAAGGCAACATTGAGGCCACCATATGTCTCTAGGACAAGAGGCACTGCTCAAAATCTCCCTGTGCTGGGACAAGGTGGGAGGAGGTGGGCTTAGGACAGAGGAATAAACAAACACGGTTGCTGTGGGCTGATGTCAGGACTGCTGGCCTGGGGTAGTCCATGGGGCTGCTGACTGACAGCTCAGGACACCCAAGGCTGCTTAACATTTGGTGTGCTGGGGGAAATGGCACCATTCCAGGGGGCCCACTTGCTGGCCTCCCGGTGTTAGCCAGGACTTGCATCCCACTCTGGCTGTGGGAGGAGCCAAGCTCCCAGCTGCCCAGCCCCTCCCGGGCCCTGGAGTCAGGACAGCCTCTCATCCCCAGCAGCCCCCCCACCAGAGGACTTTTTAGCGTCACCCATCTCATGTAGTGTCAGGGGCTGAGGCCTGACCATGGCCCAAGGCAGGCAGTGAGGGGTGGCCAAGGACGATGGCGAGGGTGGGCTTCTATCCAGACTGTGGTCCACTGTCCCAAGGCAGCAAGTAGAATGTGGCACTGGGAGCTCTCAACCTTGTAGTGTGGTGTTGGGGGGGGGGGGGGGGAAGGGGGGGGAGGCAATAGGAGGGGGGGGGGGGGAGGGAATGGGGGTACAGGACAGGAGCCTATCCTGGAGATCCCACTGTGGCTAAAAGAGAACCCTGCTCCTAAAGGGGCCCCTCGGGGGCCAGCTCAGCTGGGTGGTCACCAGGGCAAGGGCAGGCCAGGCTAAAGGCAGGCCCCAGTATGAAAAGGGGCAGAGTGGGGTGGTGGTGGGATAAATGTGGACGGGGCAAGGTGCGTATGCGGGGCAGGTGTATGAGGCCAGCACCGGCCCTCAGAAGGTGAAGCAGCGCTCCTTGGGGTGGCCCACGCGGTCCAGGTTGGGCAGGCAGGCATACTGAATCATGGGTGGGGGTCCGCACATCAGCACAAGCGGCTCCTCCTCTGGGGGCGGAAGGTGGTCCCGAATCATCTCCTCATTCACGAAGCCCTGGCTGTAGTCCCAGGCTGTAGGGCGAGAGACCATGTGAGCCTGTGTGTGGCTGCACAGCTGACCAGCCAACCCGCAGACACCTGCCAAATCTGCAGGTGGATGAGGAGTAGGGGGTTGCTCTATGCTCACCACCTTCACGGCTCCCAAGTGTTCTGTGGGACAGATACCACCTGGGCACCTAAGGACACATACTGGCCATGCAGCCAGGGTCTTCTCAAACAACCCCCACACCAAGCACATTAGCAGGAGCTCAGCCCCAAGGGATGGATGGATGGCCAGCCAAGGCCACCACTTGCCAAATGCTTCCTCCCCAGCCAATGCCTGACCGCATTGTGGGCACCTGACCCCAGCCAGCCCCTACCTCTGCCTAATGGGCGGCACTATCACTCAGGAAGATCTTCTTGCTTGGCTTTGGAAGGGCAGTAACAATGGTCAGAGAGACACAGCAGGTGGTGGGTGGGCAGAATGCCAGTGGCAGGACCCTGCAGACATGTGGGAAGTGGTGGGGAGATGGACAGATGCTGTGCCACCAACGCTTGCCTTTGAGGCCCCCATCAGAGACACCTAGCACTCCACAAGGACTGGCTGAGCTGAGGAGTGGTATCCTGTCCCCTCAAGCCCCTCTGGTCCTGGACACCCAATATTACATGGTTTGTCCCTGTTCTTCGCAACCAGAAAGAGCCTCCTCACAGCCCTTACCACCAACAGAAAGGCTGCTGCAGAAGCCCACAGTGAAGAGGGCGCTGGCTGGCACTGAACACCTCGCCTAGATGGACAACACACTACGTCCAACTCTATGTGCACTCTGTGGGGGTGCTGGAGAGGAGAGGCCAAAACAGTCTCAGCTGGCCTTGAACCAAGGAGAATCAGCTGTACTGAGCAAGGCAGTCCCCTTTATCTATGGACGCCATGGACTAAGTATGACCACATTGCCCTTTACCCCTTGGCTGCTAGGAAGTTCAGAGTAATAGGCATCACCCATCCACAGCAAGTATGCACCACAGTGCACTTTTGTACAAACCCCATTCCTGATTCCATGCTATGGCCCTGCCCTTGTTTTTCTTTCACTTCAACTTTCCATTTGTGCCCCTGTGACTCATCATATGATCTTTATAAACCTCTTAAAATCCCTTCTGGAATGAGGCGGGGCACAAAGAACATTTTCCTAGCTCAGTAACGGATTTGAATATACTTTTTAAAAAAGTGTATGAGAATAAACGGTATTTGCTAGCATACAAAATGTGCAGATAACTAAGATAAATCTCAATTTTATAAGGACTTTTATTCAGATGATGTAGAGTGTACTTTTTTTTTTTTTTTTTTTGCAGTTTTTGGCTGGGGCTGGGTTTGAACCTACCACCTCCAGCATATGGGACCGGCACCCCACCCTTTTGAGCCACAGGTGCCACCCCAGTGTACCTTTCTTTGTACACGTACTGAAGGTGGCTTTGCAGGGGAATGTGAGTCTGCTGCACTTGCCATGGGTTCTGGCTACTTGCCTCTGTTCCTTCCCTGAGCCACTAGACAGAGGGCTGGCTCATTGCCATACTTTTTCTCAACTTATACTCAATCTATACTAGAATCTCAGCTTATACTCAATGTTACAGCAGTAGCTCAACTAGTCTTGAATTGGATGTCAGGGAGGTAATAAACATCAGTGAAAAATTCTGGGAAACCACCCAACCCTTCCTCTCAGCAGCTGGTAACCTCGGGACTTAACTATTGTTACTATTGCTAAAACAAAAAAACAAACAATCCCTGCCTTGGGCTTGGTGCTGCCGCACGCTACCGCCAGGGGCAGCACTGGCCTATTCCCAGCAGCAAGGTTTCCCGCTGGCACCCAGCCGGGGCGTTCTCACCATTGCTAAGTGCCACCTTGCCCACGAGCCTACTGTGTCCACACTATTAGAAACTGCAAAGAGAAGGGAGCTAACCCATCTTTCATTTCCTCTCTTTTGATCAAAACATGGATACAAGAAAAATGTTCCTTTCTTTACTAGAAGAAAAAACAACAGCTTGGCTCCTAGGATAAGCCCCACTCCCGCCCCACTGCCTGGCTCTACCCTGTCTTGTCACTGCATTAAACTCCAGCTACTCCACTCTATAATTTACAAATAAAACTGGTCCCCATCTGTGCTCCACCTCCCTTACCAGAATGCAGGATCCTGGGGCCAGGCTGGCTTCATGAACACACAGGGAGGAGGGTCCAACTGGGAGGAGGTCTCCCATGCTCAGAGGGGCTGGCCCAGAGCAGCCAGTCCAGCCAGGGTCCTCAGGACATGGATGTCAAGTTTAAAGATGCACTCAGCCCCAGGCCTGGGTCTCAGCCAGAAAGACCCAGAATCCAAATTAGGTGGCCCTTGACTCGGTGCCCATGGCTCAGTGAGTAGGGTGTCGGCCACATACACCAAAGCTGGTGGGTTCGAGCCCAGCCTGGGCATGCTAAAACAACAATGACAACTGCAACCAAAAAAAGAAAAAAAAAATGGCCAGATGTTGTGGCAGGTGCCTGTAGTCCCTACTTGGGAGGCTGAGGCAAGAGAATCACTTCAGCCCAAGAGTTGGAGGTTGCTGTGAGCTGTGATGCCTCAGCACTCTACCAAGGGTGACACAGTAAGACTCTGTCTCAAAACAAAAAACAAATTGGGCAGCCCATCCTCAGGGCTAGCTCACCAGATGGGCCCCAGCCCCCAGAGCCCCTCTGCTCATTTCGGGGGGGAGCAGACGGTGTTGGGGACAGAGCTTTCTCATTAACAGGTGGTGTGTGCTCCTTAGTGTAGATGGGTGTGGGGACAGCAAAGGCAGGGTGGCAGGACATGGAGGCAGACCACAACCTGGCACCCAAGTGGGTGCTTCAAAAATGTCCAGTTTCTAACACTTAGAGATTCCCCATGAGGATGCAGGAACCAGCTTCTCTAGAAAAGCAGAAAGGCCTGGCCACACTGGCTGAGCTCCTGCACGGCCAGCCTGCCCACAGCTGAGAAGGGGCTGCCCGCTCTGGGCAACAGACTGCAGTCCTCACCACTCCCCAGTTTCCCCACCCTGAGGAGCCTGAGTTGCTGCTTTTCTTACAGCAAAGAAGGAATTAAGATACTTCTTGTAGCCACATCTCCAGCTAAAGCAGATAAAGGAAGGACGGTCAACCCATGGGGCACTGTCATTTCCAGCTTCGGGCAGCCTCAGTCACCCACTCCTGCGTGGACTTGGCTCTTCTTACCTCCCTGCGACCTAGGCCAACAGCTTAACCGCCTGGACGGGCAGAATGAGGGTCAGCATCTACCAGCCCAGCCCACCTCCCAGGGCTGATGATGGGAGAGAAGATGGGTGTAAAGTGTCTCCACTGAGTACAAACTGTAAAGTGGGAGCCACGGCCTACAGCCGGCACTGCCTCCAGACACCAGTGCAGAGGCAATGCCCAGCCTTCCTTATCCAGCAGGGGACAGCACACTGGGTCAGGGAAGGACCCTGCTCCGGGGATGGAGCCCTGAGTTCCAGGCCCAGGTCTGGTGTTTTCTGGCTCTGCAGGCTTCATCCATGAGGTAGGATCACACCACCTCCCTCTGGCAGGGCCGCAGTGGGCCCCAAACGAGGCTTGAGGCTCACACAGGGGAACTCCAGGCCAGGGACTTCCATGCTCACCTTCAGGGGCTCTGTCCACCGTGTACCAGAGCTTGAATTGAGCAGAATGTTGGCTCCTCAGCTCCTCCAGCTCGGGCCGCAGCAGGATGTCCTTCTCCGTCTGTGGGCGAATGGGGCCAAGTGTCAGGGAGGTTGGGGGTGGCAGGAATGACCCTGGGAGATACCCAACAGAGACACCAAACAGCTGCCAGGGCCCTCCTCCCTTGCATCCCCAAGGAGCTGGCCTGGGCTGCCCAGAACTTGTCAAAGCACAGTCTGCAGACGGCCTCCATGTTGTGGGGACGTGTGCAACACAGTGAGGGAGAAAGAGGGAACAGAACTGCAGACGGCAGGGGAAGGAGATCGCCAAACCTTGGGGGTGCTTATCATACTTCAAGTAAGGACTAGTTCAGGTGAAAGGATGACAGTTTGGAACCCTCACCCTCAGGCAAATCTTTTTTTTTTTTTTTTTTTTTTTTTTTTTGAGACAGAGCCTCAAGCTGTCCCCCTGGGTAGAGTGCTATGGCTTCACTGCTCACAGCAACCTCCAACTCCTGGGCTCAAGCGAGTCTCCTGCCTCTGCCTCCCAAGTAGCTGGGACCACAGGCGCCCGCCACAACGCCCGGCTATCTTTTGGTTGCAGCGGTCATTGTTCTTTGGCGGGTCCGGGCTGGGGATTCGAACCCGCCACCTTAGGTGTACATGGCTGGCGCCTTAGCCGGTTGAGCTATAGGCGCTGAGCCAGGCAAATCTTTTTGGTGTTACCCACCACCCCCTGCCACCCCTACTTCCCTACCATCTTCCTGGCCAGCTGCACTGGCAGCTTCATCCCTCCCAGGACATCTTCCCGGGCCACCATGCATGCAGGGATCTCCCCCTCACCCGAGTCAGCCCCAGTTTCTGACCCCAGGCCATGGCTAATATATCTGCAGGTCACTCAGGGACATATGAGCAGCTCAGGCTAGAGTGCAGTGTCACCGACACCATGGGAATTAAACCATAAGGCCAAAGAGCATGGACCCACCCAGGGGTCCCCAGTCTGGGGAACAGCACCTCCACTATGTGACCAGAGGTGCCTAGACATGGTGACCTGATGGCCAAGTACTTCAAAGGTGACCTTAGCTGGTCGTAGGGGCTTGCACCTATAATCTCAGCACTCTGGGAGGCCAAAGCAGGTGAATCACTTAAGCTCAGGAGTTCTAGACCAGCCTAAGCAAGAGACCCTATCTCTACCAAAAATAGAAAAATTAGCCAAGTGCTGTGGCAGGCACCCATAGTCCCAGGTATTCAAGAGGCTGAGGCAGGAAGATGGCTTGAGCTCAATAATTTGAGGTTGCTGTGAGCTATGACGATACCATGATACTCTACCCAGGGCAACAAAGTGAGAATTTGTCTCACAAAAAAAAGCTGACTGTAGTGTTATATTCAGCAATGAGGTGTGTAGCACTTTCTCTAGGATGGGTTTGCGAACTTAATGATCAAGGAATGATGGCTCTAACGGCCATTCCAGAAAAAGAGTTCTAAAATTGCTTTGAAGGACAGACTGGCATCGGTGCATAGCTGGTCCCAAGGGGAGTACATGAGAGGTGACTTCAGTGATACTCAGCAATGATGTGGGTAGCACTTGTTCAAGGACAAGTTTGTGAACTTAATTGTTCGCCCTTGTATTAGAATTTTAGGCTCGGCGCCTGTGGCTCAATCGGGTAAGGCACCAGCCACATACACCTAAGGTGGCGGGTTCGAATCCCCAGCCTGGGCCCGCCAAACAACAATGATGGCTGCAACCAAAAAATGGCCAGGCGTTGTGGCGGGCGCCTGTAGTCCCAGCTACTTGGGAGGCTGAGGCAGGAGACTCGCTTGAGCCCAGGAGTTGGAGGTTGCTGTGAGCTGTGATGCCATGGCACTCTACCCAGGGGGATAGCTTGAGGCTCCGTCTCAAAAAAAAAAAAAAAAAAAAAAGAATTTTAGTGTATAGTTTTTATATTTTTTCTATTCAGACTATCCATGTGTCAGTTGACCCTGCACCAACCCAATCTTACTAGCTGTCAGCAAAGGGACCACCTATTTCCAGTTGAAGGATTTCAAGGCTGTTCACACATCCTCCTTCATAAATGGCATGGCTCTGAGCACTCTCACTGCCCCCCCGTTCTTCAGGATAAATGTGCGGAGGTGGGTTCTGGGTGATGACTTCTGCATGGAGAAGGCCTTCACTCCACCAGGTCACGGCCCAGCTGCCTGCCCAAGCATATCTCTCTTCCTACAATTTTGCTAGCACTGGAGAATATTTATTTAATTTTTGCCAGTCATATTGATCATAAGGTAACTTCATGTTTTAATTTTTTTTTCTTTTTTAAGGATGAGGTCTTGCTATGTTGCCCAAGCTAGAATAGAACTCCTGGACTCCAGTGATCCTCCCACCTCAGCCTCCTGAGTAGCTAGGATTATAAGTGCCCACCACTCTGCCCAGCTTTGTGCTTTAATTTTCATTTTTTATTAATAATAAAAAATAAACATACCACTTATCTAGTTGTGTCTTTTCTTATTTATTTGTAAAAACATTTTATGTTAGAGATATTAATCTTTTATTGGTACATTTTTCAATGACACTGTACATTTTTCCCTAGTTAATTGTCTTTCTACCTTATCTATAGTGCTGTGTGGTTTGTTTTTTTTTCTTTTTTTCCTCTTTCTCAGAACTTTTAATTTTTAAGCAGTCTCTTTTTGGAGAGGGGACAGAGTCTCACTTTGTCACCCTCAGTAGACTGTGATGGCATCATAGCTCACAGAAGCCTCAAACTCCTGGGCTTAAGTGATTCTCTTGCCTCAGCCTCCCAAGTAGATGAGACTACTGGCACTAACCACAATGCCCAGCTATTTTTTAGAGACGAGGTCTTGCTCTGGCTCAAGCTGGTCTCCAACCTGTGAGCTCAGGCAAACCACTCGCCTCGTCTCCCAGAGTGCTAGAATTACAGGCATGAGCCACCTTGCCCAGCCTGCAATTCTAGATTTTCTGTTGTTATTATCCTGAAAGTCCAGATATCACACATGGCTCTAGAACCACACTGTCATCATCACTGACACTATTTAGTGTTTTTAACATCTAACATATTCTTCCTTATTACTCTTTTCCAAAACTTTCCTGGTTGTCTGTGTGTACATTAAAAGGGACGAAAAGCCAGCTGAGAATCTGAGTGTTATTTTAGAAAATGCTAAAGAATATCAAGCTTCCCTACCCAAAAAGAGGTCATTTAAGTCTCTACTGCACTTCTGGGTTAATGCTGAGTGCAGAACCCCAGGACTCCTGTCCTCACCCCGCCCCTCCCCACCTTCGCTCCCTCATCAATTCTGGAAGAACTCGCAAGTAAGCCATGATGTGTCTCTTGCTTTAATCCTCACGACCATCCTATAAAGTGGCTGCCACTGTTACCCACATAAAACAGAGGGATGGGACCCAGGGCTGCTACCCTGGGGGCAGGGGGCTCCAGAAGAAGAAGGGAGGGGCCAGGACCCAACTAGAGCGGTTTTCTTGGAGTGTGTATGGCCTGACGAGCCTGAGGTTGAGACCCTTCAGAAGATCTGTGAGATTAAAACAATTTTCTTTTTTCTTTCTTTTTTTTTTTTATTAGAGACAAGGTCTCACTCTGTCAGCCAGCTGGAGTGCAGTGGCCCAACTGTCCAACTGTCATAGCTCACAGCAGCCTTGAATTCTTAGGCTTATGCGATCCGCCCACCTCTGCTTCCAAAGTGGCTGGTACCACACAATTTCCGTACTATGCTAAGACATCACTTGTATCTGTCACCCTTGCTCTCCGGCTCTCGCTCTCTTAGATTCACAGAGTGAATGCAGAAATAAACAGGGATCCACTGCTTCCATTAGGCCAGACATGCCGTGATGTAAAGTGCAAATGTTTTATAAAAGAATAATGTTTTCTTTTTTTTGAGACAGAGTCTCACTTTGTCACCTTTGGTGGAGTATCCTGGCATCATAGCTCACAGCAACCTCAAACTCTAGGACTCAAGCAATTCTCTTACCTCAGACTCCCAAGTAGCTGGGACTACAGGCACCCGCCACAATGCCTGGCTATTTTTAGAGACAAGGTCTTGCTCTGGCACAGGCTGGTCTTGAACTTGTGAGCTCAGGCAATCCATCACCTTGGCCTCCCAAGTGCTGGGATTACAGATATGAGCCACTGCGCCAGGCAGCAATATTTTCTAAAGTGTAGATTTTTTTTTTTTTAAATAAAAATATGCCTTGGTTTAGGTCCTGGTTTCAGCTCTTCCTGTGAGACAGGTATACAGACAAGCCCTTCTCTGAGCCTGCGCCTGTAGCCTGACCTACAAAATGCCCCTGGCTCACAGGTGAGGGCAAGTCTAACAGCCGTTCACAGGTGAGGGTGAGTCTAATGACCTCGCCCTGGCTCACAGGTGAGGGCGAGTCTGAAGGCCTCAGCAGACTCTACCCAGCACCACTGAGCTCAACCACTACCCTCCCTCCCTCCACAGCAGTTGGCTCAGAATTTCTGGCTCTTTCTCCCTACTCTTGGGCCTAGTGCCTTGGGACAGTTTCCTGCAAGTGTACAGGAGTCCTATACCCACATCCAAGGACTTCAGGCAGGCCCCTCCCTCCCCTCTGGGTTTAGCTTCCTCACAGATAGGCAGCGTGACATTTGAGCCAGAGGGACCAAGCTGACATAAACCAAATGTGAGCGGCATAAGGTGGGGATTCTGGGCATGGCCCCCGAATGTTGGAGTAGGAGAAGAATAATCTCATCTTGCTCTCCCCCCCGAGGAGTGTCATTTTACAGCAGTGGTTCTCAACATTCCTAATGCTGCAGCCCTTTAATACAGTTCCTGTGGGTCACGACCCACAGGTGAGAACCGCTGCTTTACAAAGTCCACATATTTAGTCGCAACACACAGAACCTGCAAAAACTTTGCAACAACTTCGCTTTATGAGCTCATTCGACAGATAATGGCCCAGAGAGGGAAAGTGACTCATCCACAGTCACACAGCAGGCCAAGGCAAGCAGGCAGTAGGCACGGGGACAGGAATAGGCAGCCAGAGAGGCCAAGGTTCAAACTCTGCCAACACCCAGGAAGTTATCTGCTCGTTTGTAAAATGGGCCCTCTGACTCCAGCCCGGGCCCAGCCCAGGCCAGCCTTCTGCCCACCTCACTAGCAGGTTCCAAACTCTGCTCAAGGACAAAGAAGCTCTAAGGTTTGAAGGAAACAGCCAGGGTTGGGGATGCTCAAGAAGTCTCCCCCCTAAAAAAGTGACCCCCTGTCAGACACTCAGACTCTGGACTGTAAACTCTGACCGCCACCTGCTGCTGCAAAGGCTGCCAGCGCACAGAATGTCCGGAGCACCCCCATCCCAGTCATCCCTAGTACTTCAACAGAGCTGTGTAGACCCCGAATGCCCGGCCAAGCCCTAAGTCCCCTCTCAGGAAACTGAGTTTGCATATCGTGGAGACAGTCTACTGACCTGGTTGGCAAAGAGCAGGTGGCACACGGTGTGGTCGTCTGGGTCTTTCATGATGGCACGGATCACCTGAAGCATTGGGGTGATGCCTGCAAAACAACCAGGCCCCCCGTGCTGAGTGAGCACTGCTCTGGGCATGGTGCCAGGTGCCTGAGCATTGTCAGTGCCAGGACAACTGGGCCTGGGTCCCTCACCAGAGCAGCTCATAATCACTTGAAGCCTGTGCCTCACCCAGTGCCCCAACCCCAACCCATGACTCTGCCTTCTGAGAGCCAGAGAGCAATGGTGACTCCCAGGGCCTCCAGGTCCCACATACCTGTCCCTCCTGCGATCATGCCAACAGATTTCACTGTCTTGATGACGGGGTTGGATTTCTTGTCTGGACGGATGGCGAATTTCCCTGGGGAGAAAAGGAAGGGATAAGACCCAGCTCTCCAACAGGCCAGGCTCAGGTGGGAGGGACCTGTCCTCACTCTGAGAGTCCAAGGTGAGGACAGCTCCAGTGTGAGCCCAGCCATCAGGGTGGGGGAACAGAGGATAAAGTGGGGACCCAGGATCCTACACAGATGCCAGAGAGAACACAGTGAGGAGTTCCCCGCTGTGGGCAGTGTAGGGCAGCAGAGAGGTGGCGAACCAGAGTGCTCAGGCTCAGTCTGTCTGCTCATCTGTTTTCAGACACTGACAAAGGCCATCTGCCCCAGGTCTGGCCCCCAAGAACAGCCTGTCTGCATGACCGACTTATCCTCTACACAGCTGGGGCGACTGAGTTCCCAGAGAGGAGGCAGCTTGTCCAGTAAGAGCTGTGTATCCAAATACTGCAGGGTCAGAGCCCACACCCCACACCCATCACACTCTCAGGCTCTCCTTCTCGGTAGCCAGAGGGTTCTGACCCGAATCACCTTTGCCCTGGTAGACCAGCAGCCCATTCGGGCCCCGGAAGTCAATGGTGTCCCCAATCTGCATGCTTTCCAGGTACTGAGACATCTTCCCTCCAGCAGGAAACTTGGGGTGGGTGTCCTTGAAGTAAACCTGCAAGACACACCGCAGCCCTCAGTCCCCACCCCAGGGTCTCCCAGGCGAGTTCCTGCTGTCAGTGCGAAGCAGGCACCTCTTCTGGGTTCTTCCGAGGCCCACGCGTGGCCCCTCTTGTGGAATCCCACTCATTCATCCATCAAAACTTACCTGTCCCAGGTCCCATCCTCCACCTAAAACCCTCTCAGAAAGCAAAGTGCCAGCCTAGAGCACAAGGCCAAGCACCTGGACATATTAACATGTCCCTGCCTCTCTGCCTCCTGCTTGTCAGCACGGTGAAGGCTTCAGACGCGCTCAGCCTCGCCCCCTGGTGGAGGTTTGGTTCTTCCCATTTTGTGGGGTCAGAAAAACATTGAAACAACTGCCTTCCCTGTGCCCTCTGGAATTTATTGCTTTGGAAATTGGAAGTGAGGATCCAACATGCATACAAAGATGGGGACAGAGGGGCAGCAGCTTACCCTTCCCAGGTTGGGAAGGCTTCGTGGGGGTATTTGAGCTGGACAGGCAGAGAACGAGGAAGGGGGAAAGGGTGTGCAAAGGGTCCCAGGGAATGGAAGAAAGTTCGAAGGGAGGGAGGGGCCAGAGAGAAGTGGGCAGAGCACATTGTCCCAGCCCGGGGTGCCAGGCCAGGGCTTTGACTTCTGGCCTTGTCGCCTATGAGCTCTCCATCCTCAACTTGAATCCCCTCAGTGTCTTCTCCATACCTGGACTAACGATGTCAAAATGGACAGATAGCCAAGCCCTCACCACCTAGCCTCCATCTCTGGACAAAGCCCCAAACTCGCGCCTCCAGATCCTGTCCTGGCCCCACAGACCTCTCCCACCTCCCATGCCTACCATAGGGCCACTCTAGTCCCCCAGCCTCCTCCTGACCTCAGGGCCTTTGTGCCTGGAAGGGCCTTTTCTCCCCTCTTCCCCTGGTTGACGCCCACTCGGCCCCAGACATCACCTTCGCCACCACCTGCTCAGGAGCTGCTCTTGCCAGCCCACCCCTGCCCAGCTCTGGTGCCCATTTTCGGCACTTGTCCCCTGTCCGCTGGCTTCTCGTGTGACCATTTGTTCAGTGCCCATCCTCTAACCCAGCAGTTCTCAACCTGTGAGTCAGGATCTGCCCCCCCCCCACCTTTTTTTTGAGATAGAGCCTCAAGCTGTCACCCTGGACAGAGTGCTTTTGTGTATGTGGCTGGCGCCTTAAGCCACCTGAGCTATAGGTGCTGAGCCACGACTCCTTTTTAGCAATGAAAATACACTGCGGCATTAGGAAGGCTGAGAACCCCTGCTCTAGCCAAAGGTAGGCTCTTGAGGCCAGACTGGGAACCGCAGCACAGAAGGACCCCAGGCCAGAGCCAGGACAGACCCATTTCCCCTCTCCCTCTTGGGCAGGAGGTCAGGGCCTCAACTAGGTAGGTCTCTGCTGTGGGCCTGGGCTGGTCCTCACCCACAGGACGTGTTGTCAGAGAGCACAGGTGCCCTGTAAAGCTCTTGTCTCTTTTTCATAAAAACACCCTGTGCTTTTGTAACCCTCCCTCTTTCTGCTCGCTGTCTGGGGTCCCTGCCAGTGCTCCTCTCTGGTTTGCTGCTGCTGATGCTGCATCTTCTTGGCGAGCACCCACCTCCAGCCCAGTGAAGGACTCCAGAAAGCCCTTTACTCCAGCTCCCCAGATTACCCCGACACGGTCCTCACACACTTCCCTAGAGGTCTGCACCTCACAGAGGCCCTGCCACTGAGCACAATGGGGTGGCCACCCTGGCCTCACACTTGGCACCCAGCTCCCTGGGCTTTTCCAGGGGCATAGCAGGGAAGGGGCTTGTCGCTGCCTCTACACAGGCCAATTGGCCCTCCTGGCTTCTCTCCTGTAGATATCCATCCTTGATGAGGATGATGAACTTGTGCCCAGAGAACTTGTGCCAAGACCCCTCCACTTGGCTTTTGTTGGTGAACTGATTTGCTATTTACTCAGGAACCAGGCACAAGGGAGCATTGGGTCTTTAGAGACCAGACTGTGGGGACACAAGAGCACCTTGGAGGCCTGGGCTGCTGCCACAGCCAACCCTACCCACCCCTTTGTTGTCATGGTCTAGAGACTTTACCTTAATGACCAGGTCCACAAAGCCCTTGTCGTCATCACTGGAGACAGGTGTGTAGGGCCGAATGACCAGGTTTCCGTCAATTCGAGCTGAGAGGTAGATGTGCTGGCCTACAGGATAGGGCAGGGTCACTCTGGGTCAGGAATCATCCCTGCGGGTGACCCCTGACCCTTGTCAACCCACTGCCCTGTGCCCCACCTGGCATTCAGAGCCTAGCCCAGCTCCACTGCCCCCGGCTGCCCCTACAAGGGGTTCCCATTACGGCCTAGCTTCTTGCCTCCATGCCTCTGCTCCTACAGTACCACTGCCAGGGGCCCAGGAATCTTGCCCTCTCTCATCCTCACAGACTCACCCTTGAAGGCCCAGGACAGCTGTCACCTCCTCCTCCTTGAAGCCTTCCCTACCCTCCCTAATGGAAGCACAAAGTTTCGCCTCTCTGATCTAGTGCCCAGCCTGCTGCCGGCTGGGTTTGGGCTAGGGGGCAGGACTCACCCACGGGGAGGCCCAGGATATGCTGGGGTGTCGGCAGGGCGAAGCGAAAGCGTCTGGTGTCATGGTTGATGATCTGCAAAGAGGCCGGAAGCTGCTGGACAGCACCCAGGCGGAGGGGCCACCAGACCTCAAGGCCCCCACCTCCCCACCCCTCCCCAGGGCCCGAGTACCCTCTTGAAAGGCAATTCTGATGCCATGGGTGGATGTGACACCTGCATACTTGCAGGCGAGGGTGCAGAAGTTTCTTATAGGCCCAGGAGGGGCAGTGATCCTCCAGGGCCTGGTAACAAAGTGTTTAAAGTAGAGAATAAACCCAAGGGGAGGGCCAGGAGGGGAAAGGAGGACTCTACCTCTGCTTTCTGCTCAAGCAGTGGTGTGGGGGTACAAGAACTCAGGGCTTGGACTATTGAACTGGGCAGAGCTGAGATGTGGCTGTCCAGGCCCATGGCCCAAGAGAGGGGCTCTGGAAACTACTGCCCCTAAAAGCCCTCAGGAGGTGGGACAGCTGTGACTGCAGCCGGGCCACATAGGACAGGAAACAGCAGCCTTTCCTGTCCAGGAGGTGCTAGGGCTGGCCATGGCCATGAGCCCAAAGCCAGGCCTCTTCTCTGCACAGGGCAGGTACTCGCGGGCATGGTCAATGGGTGGGGCAGAGGTAGCCATTTCCCCTCCAGAGCGGGTGGGAGCTGGCTAAGAGGCAGGTGGGCCAAGGAAGGAGCCAAGACTGAAGCCCCTGAGTTCTCCTTAAGAGGGTGGGTTTTTTTTTTTTTTTTTTGAGACAGAGTCTTGCTCTGTCACCCAGGTGAGAGTACCATGGTGTCAGCCTAGTTCCCAGACACCACAAACCCCTGGTCTCACTCAATCCTCTTGCCTCAGCCTCCTGAGTAGCTGGGACACAGGTGCCACTACCACATCTGGCTAATTTTTTTTTTTTTTTGCATTTTTGGCCGAGGGTGGGTTTGAACCTGCCACCTCTGGTACATGGGACCAGCGCCCTACTCCTTTGAACCACAGGCTCCCCTAATTTTTCTGTTTTTAATAAAAATGGGGTTTCACTTTGTTCAGGCCAGTCTCAAGTCCAAGGGATCCTCCTGTGTGTCCGTGCCCACATATGTATGAAGCATATTGCAAAGAGAAGTGTGGCCTTGGTGGGAAGCAGTGATTTACTTTTTATTTTGTTAATTTTTGCTTTTCTCTGGCTTTCGACTTCTCTGTGAACTCCTGAGACACTCACAGACACACCCATCAGTTGCAGGAAGCTACAAGCTCTGTGCCCTGGAGACTGAGCTGCACGCAGGACACAGGTCAGACACGCTGGGCACAAACCCACTGTGGACAGCAGGACCCAGTGCTTAGGCAGGTGACTTTCTGTGCTCTATGACTCAGTTTTCCCTGCCACACCCCTCTTGCAGCAGCTGGAGGTGACCAGAAATAGAGTAAGGGAGGGACTAGGAAGAACATGAGTGACTGAGGCAAGCAGCCCTCACTGGCTGGCAAGGCAAGGGAGGAAGAGGACAGTTAAAGTCATAACCAGAGGTTTGAAAAAGAAAAATGTCAAACAGGATGGGCAGAGTGAGCCTCCTGGCTGGGCAGCTAGAGCCTGGTCAGGTGAGACATCCCAGGGGAAGATGTAAAAGATATGCAGGCCCAACAAGTACCAGCCAGGCTGTGACCATGACCCTGCGGGATAGGGGGGGACTGGGAGAAAGGAAGAGTCCATGTTGTCAGGGAACTGGGCATTTAGTCTCTCTCACTCTCTATTTTTCCATCTGCTAAATGGGTGCTTGGACCCCAAAGTCCTGACAGGTCCCTCCCACTCTGATCTTCCATGGGACAGTCAATGTGGTTCAGAGAACAGGCTTTGTGGTCAGAGAGACCTAGGTTTAATTCCTCCCACCACTTCCTGATGGCCTTAGCAAAAGACATCACCTCATTTTCTCCATCTGTAAAATGGGCAGATAGTAAGGACCAACTTCAGAGGGGACACCTGCCCAGAGCACAGAGCAGGTGCCTGAGAATTGCCACATGGCCAGCGAGGAGGGTCCAATGCCTGACACTTACTTCCTTATCGACGAGCCGCAGCGGGTACTTGATATCTGGGCTCTCGAGGGTGATGGCCGGCGAGGAGCGCTGGAACAGCTTCATGAGCAGGCTGTAGAGGAACCAGACCGGGGACAGCACCACATGGCCCAACTGAAACAACAAGGACAGGCCCACAAGGTCAGTGCAGGAGTGGAACAGGGCCCCTGCCACCTACCTTCCCCTCAGACTTGCCAGTTAGTTCACACTCCAGGCACCCCCTCTGCTGGGGATGCCCTCTTCCCACTACACTCATCCAGAAAACCCATCATCGCTTTTGGTGCGCTAGGAGAAGCTACAAAATCCAGACTTGCCACACCTCACACCACATTACTCAGGCTTCTAGGCTCAGAACCACAAGAAAAACTTCTTGGAAAAGCTCCATTTCCTCAGAGGAACAGGGAAAAGCAAAGCTACTTGTCTAAGCATGTGTCCCTTTTCATCTTGGCTACCAGGAAGCTCAAGAGTAAATTTATTTTTGTTTTATTTTTTTGAGACAGCCTCAAAATTAGGTGGGACTACAGGTGCCCACTATAACACCCAGCTAATTTTTCTAATTTTAGTAGAGACGGGGTCTCACTCTTGCTCAGGCTGGTCTCAAACTTCTGAGCTCAAGGGATCCTCCTGTCTCAGCCTCCCAGAGTGCTAGGATTACAAGTGTGAGCCACCATGCCAAGCCTCACAACTTGTTTACTCACCCTCTCAAGTATACCTCTCTGACTTTAGCTCTCTTAGCAAGACCATGTGTGTTCTCTTTACCTATGAGTTCCCCTTTTCACCTTGGCTGCCAAGAAACTCAGAACCAAGTCCCTTGCTTGCATGGAGGCCTATCTCCTTCCTTTGTGGGATTTACTGTGGACCTCATGAGGTAGCATATTCTGCAGACTGCACATCTGGAAGTGGCCCCTGATCTATTCAAGGCTGGGTGAGACTCTCCTCACGTCTCAAGTCCTAGTGCCAGTCCCTCCACTTCCTAGAAGCCCTGCCAAAACTCCCCACTCTCCAACAACTCAGGGAAAGTGCTCTAACTGAGCCTTATGCCCTGTCTCCAGCAGGAAGGTGAGAGCCACTACCTCGCCTACCTCCTTGGGGAACTGTGATATGAGATGGGAGCCCAGGCCATACAGGGGTCTGAAACTGGGAAGCAAGGGCTCATGCACAAGAGCTTTTCCTGCCATCCTCATGGGGCCACTACCAACTGAGAGGTGGGTACTCAAGTAAAGGCAAAGCAGAGGCACTAAGATTTCACACCCAGCTCCTGTCCCAAAACCGGCCCAGCGGCTTCAAGCTGCCTGTCTTTAGTTACAGACCCTTTGTTCCGCATAGAATAAAATGCATCTTTCCCAGACAGGGCCTCTATGGGGCCCCTGGTATGCAACTGTTGGGTCTAAAAGGAAGGGCTGCAGGTACCTAGTCCACCCCCAACCCATGCCCAGGGCCGCCCCACAGGGAGCTCTGTCCACCACCCATTTAACCAGCACCTACCACAGCCCAGGCAGCTGTGCAGGTGTTTCACCCATCCTGGGGTTCATTTAGGGCTCTGGTTGGCAGTCACAGACTCTGTGGTCACAGAGACCAGCTCAGGACCTCAGGAGAATCACTCTTCCTTTCCAGGTCCACCTAGGGCCAGGGAGACTGGGGAGGAAAGCAGAGGCTGCAAAAGGCCATGCTTAGCGCAAGACAATGGCCGATGCCCCTAGGCTGGCTCTGGCCCAAGTTTTGGCCTTGAGTTCCCTGGGATATTCCCCCACTTCAGCTCTAGGCCGTAGATGCAGTGAGGTCCAGAGAAGGCAAGTAACTTGCCCTAAGTCACACCAAGCCAACCCTCCAAGTACCACTCGTGACACCACATGATACTCTTATCTCTGTTTCTCAGAGAGAATGAGTGACCACATGGCGAAGCAACCAACCAGGGGTGGAACCAGAGTTTGACAAAAGGCCTGTCTAGCCCAAAGCCTTGCTCCTCCTGAGCCACCTCCCAGAACAAAACACCCTCTCTGTGTCCAAGTCACAGGACCCAAAGCCCAAATCCAACATCCTGCCTCTCACAGGAGGCCTGGAATGAGGCTCCAGTGAGCTGGAGCACCTGCCTCCAGCTGTGGCTGCCTAAACCAATAGGCAGCTCCACCTCCTCAAACACCCATTATGGCTCCCTACTATCTACCTTTAAGGTACCAGCTCTATGGTTTCAACTCCAGACATATCCCAGGTCTCAGTTCCCTCAATGTCAAGCCCCTCTTGCTTCAGGCCTTAGCATACACTTTCCTTTCCACCCCAAATGCCCTTCTTCTGCACTTACCCAACCAGCAAACTCCTATTCAGCCTTCAGAGACCAGCTCAAATGTCAAATCTTCCCTAGCTAACCAGACTCCTAGTGGACTTTTCACAGTCCCCAGGCCCCTCTGTAAACTCCCTGGTGGTGAGGATTCTTTGGATGATTCCTCTGCTATGGACCTCTTCCATGTCACTCAAAGAAACCATATCCATGGGGAATATCCATTGGTGTAGTGAAAAAACTGGGTGAAGTTACATCCGTAGGAAATCTCCATTGTTGGGAGCCCTGGAAACAACATTAAGAGCCACTTGGAGCTGTGTTTGGTGCTCCCTGGAGTTTTATTTTCCCAAGACAGCAGAGTCAAATTTACGACCTCTGGGCTGGCCCTCCTACACTGGTGGGAGCTCTGATGGCATTCCCACCAGACAAGGGGAGACAATGAGACTCAGGAGGCCTCGGGTGGAGTCTAGGCTTTGGTTTCCATTTTCTGTTGTTAGTCCCCTGTCCCTCACTTGCCCTAAGCCCACAAATGAGAAAAAGAGGCCCACATCCCAGCAACTCTGATGGTGAAACCCTGGCCTCGGCCCGTGCAGCTCCCCTTCTCATCCACATGTAACCCTGGAGCGGAAACCCCAGCATCTGTGTGCATCTCATCACCACTTGTTTCCAGCACTCAGCACAGAAAGCACTCAGCAAATATTTGTAAATGAATTAGTGAAGGGATAATAACAAGCTCCTGTCCTCTGTTTCTTTTTTTATTTTGTTTAGAAGTTTCCAGAACCAGGACAAGAGCCCAGACTCCTCCCGGGTGAAGGTGGGGCACACCCCATCCTGTTTGGCTGAAAAACCCACTGCACTCCAGGAGCACAGGCCGTGAAGGCAGGCTTGGGACCTGGCCACAGCACGGCAGGCTCACTGTGGGCAACTGACCAACGCCATGGCCTTCCTCCCAGTGTCTGCTCCCAACTAAGCACAGCAGAGGAGAGCCGCTCTGCTCATATTACCTCACTTAATCCTCAAGCCTATAGGACTCAGGTAGGTGCTGTTACCCACCCCAATTCAAGTGAGGAAACTAAGGCCCAGGTAATAGACATGAGCCCCTGGGCACCTTCTGGCCACCAAAGGGGAGAAGGTGGACTTTCTTTTTTTTTCTTTTTGAGACAGAGTTTCACTCTGGTGCCCTGGCTAGAGTGCTCTGGCATCATAGCTCACAGCAACCTTTGTCAAACTCTTGGGCTCAAGCAATCCAGGCATCTGCCACAACACCGAGCTAGTTTTTCTTTTTTCTTTTTTAAATTTTTTTGGTAGAGACAGAGTCTCACTTTATTGCCCTCAGTAGAGTGCTGTGGCGTCACACAGCTCACAGCAACCTCCAACTCCTGGGCTTAGGCGATTCTCTTGCCTCAGCATCCCGAGTAGCTGGGACTACAAGCGCCTGCCAAAACACCTGGTTATTTTTTGTTGTTGTTGCAGTTTGGCCGGGGCCAGGTTTGAACCCACCACCCTCGGTATATAGAGCCGGCACCCTACTCACTGAGCCACAGGGGCCACCGCCCCAGCTAGTTTTTCTATTTTTAGTAGAGACAGTGTCTTGCTTTTACTCAGGCTAGTCTTGAACTTCTGAGCTCAAGCAATCCACCTGCCTCGGCCTCCCAGAATGCCGATTATAAGTATGAGCCGCTGTGCCCTGCTGAGGTGGAGTTTTTATATGTAAAAGTTCTTATCTGGGGAGGGTGCTGTGGCAGACCATCACAAATCAACACCGTCAGTCAATCATTTCATCCACAAACCCCAGTGGGCACTCACATACCAGGGCCCATGTTCAATGTGGGGGACACAGGCCAGGAGGCTCCCCCTGAGGAGCCCAAGCCAGAGAGACAGATACCAGCAGAGGAAATGGTATACCACAACCAGGAGCAGCAGGCGGCAAAAGTTCCATCCCCAGAAAGTCAGAGGCCAGGTTAGACACTGTGGCTCACACCTGTAATACCAGCCCTCTGAGAGGCCAAGGTGGGTGTACTGCCTGAGCTCATAAGTTCAAGACCAGCCTGAGCAAGAGGGAGATCCTTATCTCTAAAAAAAAAAAAAAAAAACCAAGGGGCCTGGTGCAGTGGCTCATGCCTATAATCCTAGCACTCTGGGACACCAAGGTGGGTGGATTGCTTGAGCTCACAAGTTTGAGACCAGTCTAAGCCAAAGCAAGACCCCATCTCTACTAAAAAGAGAAAAACTGAGGCAAGTGGATCACTTGAGCCCAAGAGTTTGAGGTTGCTGTGAGCCATGACACGACGGCACACTACCAAGGGCAAGAAAGTGATATGTGAGACTCTGTCTCAAAAAAAAAAAGAAAGTCAGAGGCCCTACCAAACTCACAGGAATTGGGGTGCACTCTGTTCCTGCCAACGTGGGTTGCAACAGGCTTTGCCCCTGACCCGGGCCACGGCACTGCCCCCAGCCCCAAGAGCAGTGGACCAAGTAAACAGGAGGCAGATGGCTGGGGCCAAGGTCCTGCCCAAGCTCCTCCTGAGCTGTGTGGCATGTGTGTTCTCTCACACACACTCTCACACCACCTCACCCCACCACTTAGGGGTCTCAGGGTCATCTGCCTCCCAGACCTTGACCTAATGCCCCACAGGCCATGCTCTACCCCACCAGAGAGCCCATTATCTGCCTCTGATACACATAGCACGGAGGGGAACAAGGACATGTGGCAGTTTTCCAGCACATATCCTGGGAGCCTCCAGCTCACCCACTACAGCTGAGGGGTTGCATAGCTCTGCTCCCCACCCACAGAATACCCAGCCCAGCTGTTCACCTTGGAATTCCCCACTGGAAGCTGATATCCACTCTACCCAGGCCAGGTCTGGGGTAGGTAGAAGCCTGCCAGGATCCCCAACCTGACTGAGACAGTCCTTCCTAGGTGCAAGCTCTCTGATCTGGGGCTTGGACAAGCCAGTCAGTGCACTTGCTTACCTGCCCACCAGCTGTCCTGCCTGGATCTGAAGTCCACCTCCCTCCGGGTCCTGTTCTAAGTGGGAGGAAGTAGGAGGAAATGGAGGAAGTTCTGCAGTGATGGCTCCCAGCCTGACTGGGAGCTGTGGGGGAAGGGAACCTAGGCGGGAGAGCAGGTGGATGCCAGAGCTGGGATCTGGGCCCCCGACTAGGTACAGTGCTGCTGAAAGCCTGGTAGACTCTACCTGTGGTGTCAGCCTATCAGGGCCTGCTGAGCACACAGCTGGGCTGGGAGGCAAGGGCGCGAGGGTCCAGGATGGCATGCCAAGTCCCCAGTGCTCTCCCTAAGTGCTGGCAGATTCAGAGCCAACCTTGGGCTGGGTCCCCCAAAGTGTGGGAGGAGGCCTCCCATGGGGCTTGCACAACGCAGATAAGACGCCTGGCATCTCAGGCCCTCAGCCGGCCTCCTGAAAACTTCAGAGGGCCCCTGTGCCAGGAGGCCAGGTTCAGGGCATGCTGGGGACATTCTGGATCCAGTCAGGACCCCAGCAGGAACTACTTGGGGCAATCACCATCTGCCTGCTAGGCAGATTTGGCTGGGGGGCTGGTGAAGGTCTCCTGACTCCTGGACAGGGCCCTGCCCCTTACAGGGGACCATCAGTCTCTTCAACAAACTGCATGAAGCAGCCAGGTGCTGGGGATACAACACTCACTCCACTGCCAATGGCACCTGCTCAAAGGTAAGAAACATAGGGCAAGCAGAAGGGAGGGAGCAGGTTTCAGAGCCCATAGGATGCTTCAACAATGACGGAGAGTGCTTGCTGGGGAAAATGGCAGGATGACACAAAGGCTGGTGATATCACCAGAATCCAGGCTGGGCCACACTTTCCAGAGTGAATGCCCTGGCCAAGAAGCCTTTTGCCTGCTTCCCCGAGGGGCCTCCAGCCCCAGGAGGAAGAGGCATCTGGCAGGAGGTGGAGGTGAAGGTGGTAAGATGCTGGGCTGAACCCTGCAGTGCCAGCCTTCCTGTCCAGCGAGCTCGGGAACCACATGACACAAAGAGTTGAGGAATGTCCTCCGTAGCTTCAGCCTTAGTGGCATCACTTCACTTTTAAGATACCAGAGAGAGACAGTCAGGCGTGGTGGCTCATGCCTGTAATCCTAGCACTCTGGAAGGCCAAGGTGGGTGGACTGCCTGAGCTCAGGAGTTAAAGACCAGCCTGATTAAGAGTGAGACCCCCATCTATAAAAATAGTCCAGTGTTGTGGTTGGCACCTGTTGCCCCAGCTACTTGGGAGGCTGAGGCAAAAGAATCGCTTAAGACCAAGAGTTTGAGGTTACTGTGAGCTGTGACAGTACAGCCCTCTACTGAGGGTGACATAGTGAGACTCTGTCAAAAAAAAAAAAAAAAAAATCAGAGAGGGGAGGTGGCCTGGGCAAAAGGAAGACAGGCCCTAGGCCAACCCAGAACGGTGAGGGTGGACTTTGGAGCCCCACCAGAGCCTGCGCCCCCAGGTGGCCATATCTGGGTTCAGTTTCCACAGCAGTGAAATGGGGCTACAGTGCTGACCTTTCTAGTATGGCCATCCACAGCTCAGATGGGGGCTTCCAGGGAGGGCTACACCTGACCCCAGCCTGGCCCCCCACTGAAGAGAACACCCAGGTGTCACAGATGTTCTTCTTGTTGCTGTAAGATGTAGGAAGGGATTAAAAGAAGAAAAACCTTCGTTTAAAAAATAATGCACAGGATCAGGTGCATGTACATTATTGAAGTGTCTGGTACACTAAAAACCCAGACATTACAACCATGCAACTCATTTGTGTAACCAAAACCACGTGTACCCCTACATCTATCCAAGTACAAATTATAAAAGTAAAGAGATAAAAATGTGTGAAGCCCTCTCATCCAGTGGCATCACACACATTCACACACATGCACAAACTCCCTTACACACACCATTCACACACTCGCTCACACTCACACACCTACTCACACTTCATGCACATACTTTCACTCTCGCAGTCACACGTACTCACACATGCACACTCACACTTGCTTAGTCACACTTGCACTCTCAAAAGCCACTTTCACGCACTCACACACTCACAGCCACAGCTTCCGCAACAGAGGCGACCCTAGGGACAGCAACGGGCTGGGCCACCGCTGTCTGCCCCGGGTGCCGGCCTCTCTCACGCCCCTCGGGCGCAGAGTGTGAGTCACCGTCCTCACCGCGCACGCCCGGCGGGCCGGGGCCGGGGCCGGGTGGGACAGGGTGGGACCGGGTGCGACCGGCTGGCCCGGGGTGCTGCGGTTTAGTTGCAGCGGGCGCAGCCTGGGCGGCGGGGGTCCCTTGCCCCTCCCCGCAGGCCGGCCCCGCCCCCTCATAGGACCGTGGCCGTCGGCGCCGCGCGAGGCCGAGGTCCAGGCGCCGCCGTTCCCCCGAGACACCCCGCGGGACAGCCCGCCCGCCGCGGCCGGTGTCCCCCTCCTCTCCTACCGTGCTCAGCTGGGCCCCCATGGTGACGCCGCGCTGCCCTCGCTCCGCCGCCGCCGCCTAGACAGTCGCTCCGCGCCCCGCCCCGGCCCGCGTCACCCTGGGGGAGGGGCGGCACCCGGGCCAGTCGCGGCGCGGGGCGGGGGCGGAGGCCTGGCTGCTCCGCCTGCTGGACCCGGGACGCGGCCAGGGCTCCCCGCGCCGCGCGGAGAACGGGCCTGGCCGACAGCGCCGAGCTCAGACCGCCGTGTGGCCCGGGTGGGACCTTTTCTGAGCCTTGTTCACCACCATAGAGGGAGCAAGATGGCGCGCCCCGTGTTGGGATCGAAAGTAAAATCCAGAACCTTCCCCTCCGGGGCCCCGAGGCCTGTGGGAGCGGCCCAGCCCGGGTTGTTCCTGCCGCTCCCCAGCGCGGTCCCACCTCCAGGCCTGCAGTTCCCTCAGAGACAATATGCCCGCTGGGCTCGGGGACCGCGCTTGCTTATTGTGCAGGTGCCCCCCCCCCATCCCACTACCTTAACATGTGGAGGGTCCTCGCAGTTTTTGGCTGAAGCCACCCTGCGCATTCCCTCGAAGGCCCGTTTTGAAGTCCCCTGCATGCCTGGAGCCTAGCACAGAGCCCTGTAAATACTTGTTGAATGGGTGACTTCGACGGTGGGCACTTCTCTATGTAGGCTCATGTTGGTTGGGAGGGCCACTCTCTGGCCTTGCCCTCGTGGAAGGGTCTTGGACCCAAGGGTACTCTGAGGAACTGGCTCTGTTCCTGCAGTGTGACACTGGCCAGGCAGAGAAGAAACGCCTCGCCAGCAGCAGAGGGAATCTGGAGAGCCCGGAAATAGAGGAGGTGAACAGATGCAGCCTCTCCTGCGGGGCTAGAGAGGCTGATACAGGGGAGCTGGGGGCACAGTGATGTCATGAGGTCAGGGAGAGGCAGCGTGGGGCCTTGATGGAAGGAACTGGGATGTCCAGGAGAGCAGGGAATCATGTAAGATCTAGACATGAGGAGTGACCTACTGGTTTTTTTATTATTATTTCCTCAAACTCACCTTCAGTGAATGACCTGCTGGTTTTGGACAGAAAACTGTGGGCTGGGCGCCTGTAGCTCAAGAGGCCGAGGTACCAGCCACATACACAGGAGGTCACGGGTTGGAATCCAGCCCAGCCTGCCAAACAACGACAACTACAGCCAAAAAATAGCTGGGTGTTGTGGCCGGTGCATGTAGTCCCAGCTGCTTGGGAGGCTGAGGCAAGAGAATCACTTAAGCCCAAAAGTTGGAGGTTTCTGTGAGCTGTGACACCATGGCACTCTACCCAGGGCAACAGCTTGAGACTCTGTCTCAAAAAAAAAAAAAAAAGAAAGAAAGAAAGAAAGAAAGAAAGAAAGAAAGAAAGAAAGAAAGAAAGAAAGAGAGAGAGAACTCTGGCCTGACAGGGTGGCTCACACCTGTAATCCCAGCACTCTTGGAGGCTCCCAGGTGGGTGGATTGCCTGAGCTCAGGAGTTGGACACCAGACTGAGCAAAAGCAGGACCCCATCTCTGCTAAAAATAGAAAAACAAGGTGGCAAGCTGGTCATTGTGGCTGGCATCTGTAGTCCCAGCTACTCCGGAGGCTGAGGTAAGAGGATTGCTTGAGCCCAAGAGTTTGAGATTGCTGTGAACTATGACACCATGGCACTCTACCCAGGGGGACAAAGTGAGACTCTGTCTCTAAAAAAAGAGAGAGAGAACTCCGGCAGCAGCGTGGAGGGAGGGACCTGCTACCACAGATTACTTAGATTAACCTTAGACAGGATCAAGTTGGTATTATTTCAGTTTTCATGATTACAATTTTTATTTTTGTATTTTCTCTTCTATTCTGTTTATTTTTTGAGACAGAGTCTCACTTTATTGCCCTGGATAGAGTGCTATGGCGTCACAGCTCACAGCAACCTCATGCTCTTGGGCTTAAACAATTCTCTTGCCTCAGCCTCCCAAGTAGCTGGGATTACAGGTGCTCACAATGCCAAGCTATTTTTAGAGATGAGGTCTTGATCTGGCTCAGGGTGTTCTCAAACCTGTGAGTTCAGGCAATCCACCCACCTTGGCCTCCCAGAGTGCTAGGATTACAGGCATGAGCCACCTCACCCAGCCCTACAATTTTAATATTATAAAGAAGACTGAGTACAGTGGTTCACACCTGTGATCCCAGCACTTTGGGAGGCTAAGGAAGGAGGATAATTTGAGCCCAGGAATTCAAGGTTATAATGAGCTATGATCATGCCACTGTCCTCCAGCTTGGACATCAGAGAGCCTATCTCAAAAAAAAAAAAAGAAAAACTATAGAAGACAGAATCATATCCTAAAGCTTGACTTTAGCACGTGGAACCAGTAACTGCCACCTTGCTAATGTGCTTCATACACAACCTTTCTCTATAAACCCCTTCCACGGTGACCAGAGCAGCAGCAGGTCATCCAGAGCCTCAGCAGAAGCTCATCCAGTCCCCTAGCACCTTACGATTTTCTTTATTATAACCAAATTAATGATGATTGCCAATTATCATCGCTGTGGATATGTGATGTTGGAGTTTCTTGTAAAATTTCAAGGTGATAAAGTCAGTGTTCTCCTTTTAATCATCCCTCCCAAACACATGTAAGAACACATGACTCTTCCTTATAAGACTCATCACTTAATAGCTTAAAATAAACAAAACTTAAATACTGTTGAGGAAAAAGAAGAAAAATACTGTTTAGTGCCAGTGGCTTCCACTATCCCATCCTCATCACCACTTGTCAGGGCCCAGGACTAGCCAGGTCTCCGCCCCGGGTTATCTATTGTCCAGGGATGCGGACCTCTGTGCTACCTAGCTCAACTCCCCTTAGGTGCCTGAGGGCTATTCATCTTAGCAGAAGGGAGAGAGAAACAGTCTTAGTAGGAGAGTAAATCTTGGCTGTCTTCTTAGAAGGGCCCCAGGCAGGGGGTCTCTAAGCAGAAGGAGTGAATGAGTGAGTCCGTGGAAGAATGAGAACTGAACTTGCAGCTACTTACAGACATGATCCTGTGGCCATTTGCACCATAGGTGTAGAGACTGCCAAGCACTGATGTTCTCCCCTGCTCTCCTTCTCGTGTTAAGGAGAGCTGAATCCCTTCCCTATGCCCTTATCACCAAGGTGTTATATTACTGAGCTGTTACAGGTATTTCTTACAGAGTGTTCAAAGCTTAACTCTCGCTTCCCCTTCCTGTGAGCTATATGGTCTGCTACAGTTTAGGTTAAGGCTGTAAATGCCAGTCCAGCAAACAATCCTACAAAATCAAAGCTGGAATGGAACCTATTTTCCTGCCTTTTTTGGTTATTTAAATTATTATATACATTTGTAGACTCAAGGAGGAAATAGCTTTCCTCTGGAAGTTATCATGCTATTGCTGCCTTTCTCAAGATCTTAACCTTCTCTTTCCTTATTTACATATTTTTTTCTTTTGCAGTTTTTGGCCGGAGCCAGGTTTGAACCTGCCACCTCCAGTATATAGGGCCAGCACCCTACTCCTTTGAGCCACAGGTGCTACCCTATTTTACATCTTTTTTTGAGACAAAGTCTCACTCTGTGCCCTGAGTAGAGTGCTGTGGCATCACAACTCACAGCAAACTCAAACTCTTGGGCTTGAGCAATCCTCTTGCCCCAGCCTCCCAAGTAGCTGGGACTATAGGCGCCCACCACAACGCCTGGATAGTTTTTCTATTTTTACTAAATATAGGATCTCACACTTCCTCAGGCGGGGCTGTAGCTCTTGAGCTCAAGAGATCTACCAACCTTGGCCTCTCTAAGTGCTAGGATTACAGACATGAGCCATTGTGCCTGGCCTTCTTACTTTATCTTGTGAAAGCTGCAAATAACAAAATGGAGTCACTTATGTCAAAGTCCAACAAAATGGAGTCAGAGAGGCCTTGACAAAGAAGCCCACAGGCAAACATGGTGTGAGTAGAATAAGACATACCTACAGTAGAGCGCTTTTAGGTTACCTTGCTGGAGTCAAGTCAGGTAAGTTACTTTCACAAGGCCACTTGCTTAGTCATAGCGGATAAACTCACACCAACTCCTGCAACAAACTCCTGTACCTTTGGTCTTGAAAACTCCTTGGCAAAATTCTCCTTTTCTTTAAAAGATTCCCGTTCCACCACCGGCCTTGGAAATGGCTACAACCTGCTGTAGCTTGTGCACCCCAGATTGTAATCTTCCTGCTATTCCCAAATAAAATCATTTGTTCTGGAAAGCCTGTCTCTCAGGGTTTCTTTTAGGTTGACAAGCTGTCTGATACTCTTCATAATTGTTTCTGTACATAAAAATCACATCATTCGCAATCAACATGTATTATTGAAACAATTTGCTCTTGTAATAAATCCTGTCTGCGTTTATACCTCAACCTACTCACACAATTTCAATGTGTGAAGCACAAAAGATTTCATTCCTGGTTCTATCTGGAAGCTCCCTAGAAAGTGACCCCCATGTAAGGCCTGGCCTCCCACTGACATCAACCCCTAATTAGCTATGTGACCTCCAGACAGACCTGATACAGGAATGGATAAAGGCTGAAGCTCAAACTGGGGACAGACTTTGTCTGGTTGGGACACTTGGGTGGTCAGGACAGTTGCTATGACCTCTGGGATATGAAGACTGGGGTCAGAAGTCTTTGCTCTCCACCGCCTCCAGCTGGTTTGGTCTCCATCCAGCCATCCTGTCCTCTGGCTGCCCCTAGTCCTGGCAAGGGACTGGCCCACACCTGTTTATTTTACCCTGTAGTTCTGGGTCTTAATTCCCAACAATTTCCCTTGCAGGGGTTTCGATCTGTAGTGGCCAAGTGAGGCCCTAGAACTTGCTGCTTTCCAGGAGACAATGTCAAAATTCCTGTCCCTTTTCTCTGAGTCCTCCTCCTCCTCCCCATCCTGCCTGCACCTACAGAGGTAAGGACGTCTCCTCAGGGGATGTGGGCAGACCAGGTGGAGAGAAGTTGAGATCCAGTTTCTTTGAGAAGCCAGGGGTAGATTTCTTCCCTGAGCC